ATGATGTGCACCACTGGCTTTTCCCTAAAACTCCAAACTTACCTGAATTTTCTAAGAAAGATGTTATTTATGGGACTCTGAGAAAATAAATTCAAAAGGTTATTAAATGTAATCATTATTATGGGCAAGTTTTTCAATAAAAAATATCGTTTTCTTTCCCCACTTTTCACAAGGAACTCTGCCACCTCTTCTCATCTTTAAAATTCATGGACAAACAAGATGCAGAACTGGATCATATGACAAACAATCTGGAACTGCTGGAAACCCTGATGGCTTTTTGTTGGTTTGTTTTTCCGTTTCTTCTGGAAGCAGCCTGCTCGGCTTCTTCAGGGTTTTGTACATCTGATGCCCATGTTTGTTGTATATGATAAAAAAAAAAAAAAAGAATCAGTGCTACCCATAAATCTGTCCTACCTTGTGATGATGCCACATCGATGCTCCGTCACACACTGCTGACTCAGCAGATTTCCTATAAATACATCCTACCTGTGGAAGTTTCGTTTCATGTGTTTTATTTCATCGAAGATCACGGTAAGATTTAATTTATTTTGTTCCTGGCTTTCATTAAGCTGCTGTATTTCTTAATGGTTTTGGTTTACATGACAGGCAGCTTGTAAATAATTATAAATGGCTTTAGTTTGCCGTCTGCAGTGTCGTCACTACTGTAAACAAGTCATTGTTTGGCGGTTAATTGGTGGGTTTCAGTCATGTGACCCGGATGACGTGCCAAATTCAGATGGAGGGCCGGAAGTGGATTTCTCCGGTTCAAAGCAAAATTGATCACGAGTAGCTAATGCCCTAAACAGGCTGGAACAGCCGAGGTATCTCCAAAACATACGCATATTTAGGACATGATTCATATTAACACTAAAAAAGATTTCTCTTGTAATGATTTACCCGCATCGAGGCGATTAACATTACCTGGAGCTGCAGACCTCATGTTATACAATGAGCCAGAGGAAAGTTTTCAAAAGCCTGGAGAATCAATTTGGTTTCAGGTTGGGTCACATTTAGGATCAAAACAACTGCAGATGGAGGCGGACAGGGAGCGCGATGAGACGTCATCCTGTCAGAACAGGAAGCTGGAGGTTCAGCTGAACTAGAAGAACAAAGTCTGGGTGAGGAAAAGTTAAACCTCCTGCTGGGAGTCTGAGGCCTGTGAGGCGGGTCGGAGTTTCACCTGCAGGTGTTGAAACCAGGTTTGTTGCTCCAGGCGGTTTTGAAAGCTGCCGAGCACGAGGACAGTTCTTCTTCGTTGGTGTCCTGCGGTCAGGTAGTTCTGCAAACCTGCCGCCGTTTACGGGATGAGGCCAGGCGATTGGCTAAGAGCCAGCCAAACAGGAAGTTGCAACGTTTGAAGACAAAGTTCGTTAACTTTTTTTTAATTGATAAAGGGGTTTACAAAACAGACAATACCAGAGGGTTATACATCGAGCACAAATAAAACAAAAAGTTAAGTCAGAAAGATGTTAAAGTGGGATCACATATCCATTCTCTGAAAGGCTTTTCTATCGTTTGAATACTGAAGATATTTAATATGTGGCGGCAGCAGTGTGATAAGAATTGGGAACTTAAGTTAAATGAACTATTTTAATAAAATTGGTTGCAACAACTCCACCAAAAAGTTACCTTTAAGGCACACAGACCCGCTACAGATGAGGCTTGAGACAATCTCACAATTTAACAATTTTATTTATTCCACAATTGTTTGTTTAATCAAAAATACTAGTATAAAATCACTCGCACATTAAAAGTCAGTGCTAGCTCAACTCAGGGATGGGAGTGCAATTCGGGGAGGTGTCCTAAAAGAAAAGAAACAAGGCAGCAGTACCACCACCAACACCACGAGCTGGCCGTTCCTGTTAAAAAAATATAAATATATAAAGGAGAGAGACATTCACCAAAAAATACAATTATGCAGTTCAGCCCACGATCAATCAAGCAGCAATAGTCCAAATTAAGAGTCCGTCCGGGGAGAAACCGATGCGCTGTAGCAAGAAGGTCCGAGCTGATCACCAACCAGCCCAAATCAGCCTCACTGGACGAGTGGTAGGAGCCAGCTTTACCCGAACCAGGACGGCGGGCATGAAGCCAGCAAACAGGACGACAGGTCGGCAGATTATCCAGCTGACCGCCAGTCGGGGACAAACAGCAGCGGCTATCAAAAATAAATGTTAGAAATGGAATCTAAAAGCATCCAAACTCCAGCACTTCACTTCCCACTGAGCTCTTACAGGAAGGAGGAAACGTGGAGCTTGTACAGGCGGCCTGGATATACAACAAAAGCTGAGCTAAAGCTAAGCTAACAAATGTCAGGTGTGGGAAGATTCTTACCAGAAGGACGATGGATCGGCGATCAGAGCGTCGTTAAGCGCATAGTTTGAGCGCACACGTTAATTTGCAGCTGTTATACAGAAAATGTAAATAAATCGCAAGTAATAAGCTTGATGGAGAGAGGTGAAGCCTGCCTTACCTAGCGTGCAGCACCAACAAACACCCAGGTCTGAACCGGAAGGAAAACAACGTCATGTCAACCAGGTGAGGGAGGGCCCTTTATATGCAGGCAGCCGGCGCCACAACCAATTAGATTCAGGCACTTGTGTGGTGCGTTCAAAGGCTACAGGGCATACTGCCACAAATATATTATTTGAATTCCTCTTTAAAG